TGAGCGCTACACAAAGTATTCTGAATTCTTCTGAATTTCCACCCAAGACTTTCTTCCCGCACATGTTACTTACTTTCACGTACGTGAATGCGACAAAGTTAACATACAGCAATGCTCTTTTTCAGAGAGTCTCGGCGATGCTACCGGCGACGATGCTGGCGTTAAAGAACTTCAGGAACTTCGTGACAAATACGAAGGAAAGCTGACAGCGTCTCTTTACACGGGAACACTCTGTGTTGCCGCTGTCGCTTCGCTCATCGCTCTAGGTGCTCTCTGCTTCACTGATTATCATGTAAGCACCATTGATAATTTTCTATAGTCGAATTAAACGTAGTCTTTACTTTACATCAGTATTGAACAGCAATTATCTGTTGCTTTAATTAAGAATGTTGTGCTTCAAAATTTATTATATTAATCTTAACTCAGAAAAACTGTAGAGTTAAAAAATTTTAGACGAAAATTCCTTTTTTTTTTTTTTCGTACTTTTGAAAGTACGTTTTCATTTCTATTTTGTCTTATGTGATTATTATCGGATTAAATTTAAAATATTTTTCTGCTAAGTTACGTTTTACTGTGTGTCTTATTCTTGTAATTAATCGCTATTTCCAACAATTAATGTTCATTAGCGAGATGTTAAAGTTTTCCTAAGTTGAGCATCTTATTACCCTTTGGCAACGGAAGTTACAAGATGATGTTCGAAGCTGTAATTAATTTTCAATTAAAATTCCATCTAGTGCTCTGTTGTAATGAATCGATCCGAGATGGCTCTCGGCAATGTGCATATGTATTCTTCGCAAACCGTGTTCTGTAATTGAATTACAGGATGTTCGTTAGCTAAGCTAAGAATTAATATTGATATCGGAGGTACGAGGAGCCCAAGTAATCCGCAGAAGCTCAAACCGATAGATTCACGAAGAATATATAAAATATCGTGCCCTATGATTGAATCTAGAAATTGACAATGTTGATCCATTTGAATCAGCGATTTGTAAAATACGTTAGAAAATTAATAACGTGGCTTATCTCAGATCAAAAAGTTTCTCTTGCACTTTATCGCCAGTAAAAAATGACATGAAGGCAAGATTAATCATCGATGAGACGAACTTATTTTGATACTTTAAAGGAGAAAAGTTAAACGAAAATTCCAAACTTTAAAAAAGTTCTGACCAGCGTTTATAATAAAAGTTCGACAAAACATGGACATTCGTTATGTTTGATCTTTATCTGTACTTTTTTTATTTTGACGTCACACATTTCGTCGGTATGTCGCTTTTTCAGCTATAATTATAATTTTTAATTTTTTTGCTCAAGATAATTTTATGTTAACAAAAATATCGTATCAAATTTATGTAAATTAATTATTAAATTAAATATTAAAAAAATAAAATATTTTTAAAAAACTACGTAAATTAATAAATAAATTACGTAATAAATTTAAGAAAAGGAAAAAAAATGCTTTTCTGAATAATTTCTGAAATTTTCTGTATTACAGAAAATTTATTTTGTTTAATGTTTGATTAATTTATGTTCCAGGAATTATCCAATATGATCGATCTGATACCAGTATCAGCATTGACGAGCATGCTCATCGTCTCTTTAACGCTTTTGGTGATCACGCAATTACCTTCAACTATGATATCTAAACGATCCAGGATTTTAATAGGTTTAACGTCCTCCGTCATCCTTGGTCTAGGAATTTTAATATTAAGAAATGTCATATCCTTGTTTGTCTGCATCCTATCAATAATTGCCATTCTGCCTAAAATGAAATGGCAAATACCGCTTATCATTGGCTGCATCCTAGCCCTTGCGCACATTTTGAGAAGACTTATTCGCCTTACTTTCGAGGATTTAACAAACCATTATGATACGATCCAGGTAATTTATAATAATTGAAAAATTGAACAATTACATTTTATATGTAATTGATTTATTATTGTAACGAATTATGTATCGGAAAATTATTATTAAAATAAATCTCTTTAAAATTATTTGTAATTAATATTTTTTTATATATGTGTAAAATAATGAATTGTAATAGTAAATTTATTGGAAATACAAGAAGTGTCTAAAGCTACATTTTACTGAATATGTAAACTACTAAAGAGAGAGGGGAAAAGAGGGGGGGGGAGAGGAGTTAAAGAGGGATAACAAGACAGAAACATTTTTTTGACAGATCGCTGCGGAGATCATATTTCTTCTGGTTGCTATCCTCGCAGGCATGTACTATAGGATCTTGACAATGGCAGCCCATCGCAAAACATTTTCCGGCACGAAAACGGTGATCGAGTCACGAATTAAGCTTGAATGCGAGAGGGAGCAGCAGGAGCAATTATTGCTCAGCGTTATTCCAGCCTACATCGCGGCAGAGGTGAGCAATAAAAATGTGTCGCTTCATGGTCTAATTTAAAATCTTGATTACGATTCCATCATGGAAGTATCCACATAGAATTGTTCACTGTGCGCGCACGAGTACATAATGGCTTATTATATTCGCTTATCAATCGATTAATGTTTAATTAAATTTCAATCTACGATGTATACAACTTTAGATTATAATCAGAAAATTAATTTAACAAAATTATACATAGGACGAGATAAATAGGTATTCCTATTGTGTAGAAGCGAGTTGCTTTTTAGATGGAAAAAGTAAAAGAAAGTAAAAGTTTCATTTTCTGAATGATGATTGTCATGCTTCATTCGTACTACGATTTATTGGCAATCTCACGATGATGAAAGATCAATGTAAAAAATATCGTACTGTAATAAAAATCAGATGAGACAACTTTTGCGATGAAGTTTCGCCTGACAGAAGTAATTAACGATTTGCAATAAAGTTTCCTGTGAAATTAGACTTAATTTTGTAAGTTTGAAATGAAGATCGGAGATGATACGAAGTATTTATAGCGAAAGTTTTACGTCAGTTATTTGAAACACATAGATGTAGCAATCATTATGAAAGAATCTTTTTTGGTAATGATAATAATAATAATAATAATAATAATTTTATTTCAAAAGGAAGACATTCTATCTCTTCTATCTTTCTTTATCTCAGTATAGAATTTTGCATAATAGATATCAAGGATAATTGAAGAAATTCTTCACAGTTTAACGAAGACATAAATGTTTTATTTTAAGCAAATATTAAGAGTAATGGCGCGTCGCCAAGTTTGTACTCAACAAAGTTCGCTCAGAATGACGCGATAAGATGTCCATAGCTTTATTAACGGAAGTCGCTGACATATTGATAGACGACGGTTACATTTTTAAATCTCAGCAACTGATTGCTAAATGATTGAATTTTAAACTAAACTCAATCGATAGCTGAGGTTTAAATTGTATTAGAAGTGTTTTTAATTTTTTCTCTCTGTATGTGTATGATAAACAGAAAATATTAGTAACATGCTATAGCGTACTTTTAATTTTATCAACTTATTAAAAGTAAAGTAAATAAAGAAACGTCAAATGCACTCGCAGTGTATACCCAGTGTGTACAAAAAATTGTTATTTAATGCGAGAGACATGTTGTACAAAATAATGTTATTTTTATTATAAAAACATTCTTCTGAAAAGTATTATATAAAACTTTTTACTTTTCTAAAAATCACAAAATAATAGAAGACTGTTCAAGTAAAAGACTGTTAATCCACTCTACCTGCACACAATGTAGTATTAAACACTATTATATACATATATATATACATGTACACACACACACACACACACACACACACACACATTTATATGCAACTTTGTCCCTAATTAAAAATAAAATAACTATTTTTGTAGAATAATAATATTAATAACATTAATATTAATATTAATGAATATTAATATTAATAAAATATTAATATAAATAATATTCATATAACGATATTTACCAATGACATAAATGATTTCTGGCTTCGAATGAATGATTTACATATTAAACCCCGCATAAGACTTAACCTCGGTTTACAATAGATATAGTAAGGCTTAAGTCTTATGCTCTCAGCTCTAAGCTAAATAATTTGCAGCAGAAAGCATTTCCTGAACTGCTTTAAATCCTAATTATAATTCCTAAACTTTAAGCGTTGACCAGATTCCAACTGTAAAGTTTAGAATTAATTCTTTACTAAAGGCAACATAAAGGATACTTTTTATTAGAAATTACTTAGTCTATCTCTGATTTATAATAAGTATAGTCAAACCTTAAACTTTGTAATCTAAGTTATAGACAACTTTCAGCAAAAAGTGTTTCTTGAGCTGCTTGAATCTTTAAGCTTTAAGAGTTGATCAGATCACACAAGTGCAAAATTTAAGGCTTAAGATTAAGCAGAATGATGCTTTATGTTAGAAATTACTTATTTTACTCTCGGTCTACAGCGATGAAGTCAGTCTTAAACTTTATGATTTAAGCTAAGTAATTTCGAAGTTTCTTGAGTGTAAATGAGAGTTTTAAGTTGTAATCCCTAAGGTTTAAGAGTTGACCAGACTTTCAACTGTAAAGTTTAGGGTTTAACACGACGTAGAAAACGCTTTTTGCCAGAAATTACTTAGCTTAGAACATGAGACTTAAGGCTTACTACATCTATTATAGACCGGGAGATAGAGTATAAAGCTTATTACATCTATTACAGACCGAGAGTTAATCTTCTAATCAAAACCTATAATATACAATATATCGATACAATATTGCATAATGTATAAGTTTCCAAGTTTCGATACGTCACAGCAATATATAGGCATTACATTGGATAATTAATCTAAAATTATAACAATTTCATAATAATATTTACATAAATAATATTATATATGACAAAATATGAATTTAATATAGTATACTATCGTAGGTGAAGAGAAGTATAATGCTAAAAATGGCGGATGCTTGTCAAGAAGCTAATAAACACAAGCAAACCACGTTTCAAGAAATGTATGTACAACGACATAATAACGTAAGGTAATTTATAAAACATATATGTTTATAATATTAATAACATATTAATATTTATAATATTAATAATCATAATTATAATGTTTAATGTGGTGATAATGATAGTTACCTAATTGTTATAAAATATTAATTTAGAATGTTGCATATTCTCATTATTATTATTATTATTATTTAAAGCTAATAATAATGTCTATTTAGGATTTACATCCGTAAGGGAATTAATTTTAATCGCCATGCATTTTTTAACAAAGTTGTGTACAACTTTGATTTTGATTATACAAGTATCCTAGCCGAGTCGATTTGCAATAAAAGAGATAACGTTAAAAATAAGATTCAAACGCGCTTTGCAAGGTCAAGAATCATGATTTAATCATAACAAATGTATTTAGAAGGCGCGCGCGTATTTGGTTCTCCCGAGGATTATATGGGTCGAGGATGATGGCAAGGAATATTGATTGCATTGAAATAAACGCACGCTGCACGTGTCGCACATCGCCTTTGGCCGGCTCTCCTTTATTTATCCATCGATCTAGCGATGCATCTGAATTTAAATCATATGATCGCTCGATTGTGCAGCACCCAATTCAATCGTGCGCACTTTAAATGTCGATCGATCAAAGACGAATTTTTCCTCAATACCTCTCTCTTTGAGGTATTTCTTTTAAATAGCTCCTAAGATTAGGAAATAGCTTCTAAAATTTACAAAAAATTATATTTAAAATCCCTTGCATTAAAATCTCTGACAAAGTTAAGTGATTTATTAAAAATATTCTATCCGTTTTGTTGTTATTTTTTTTATTTTATAAAAGTGATATCCAAAAGCAAATATCCAATTTAAATTACATACATTGATACTTATGAAAGATAAATTTTATTTTGTTAAATTGATCATTATTTTGGATCATTATCTTTATATTTTGAAAAATTTTGCAACAAAATATCTTAAAAGACAATATATGTTTGTTGATTGAACGTAGCATTCTCTATGCGGACATTGTCAACTTTACACCGCTATCGGAACAGCTTTCAGCTTCCGATCTTGTGAAAACGCTCAACGAGCTCTTCGGCAAATTTGATCAAATAGCACAGGTAAGAGAAGAACATAAAAGTTAAGTTAATTTTATTTAGTTTCAATTAAATGTTACATATAATGTAAGAATATAAATCTTCTTACATAATAAAACGCTTTTCTAATGCATATAAAAAAATGGAAGCACCGTTTTAATATTCTCCTTATAGACAGTGTTTTTATAAAAAAAAAATTAATTTTTAGAAAATTTTATTAAATTCCATTTAACATTTATATACTGTATTTTTTACTAATAAATTTATCATTCTTGGTTTTATTTCTAAATTATCTTAATTTCAATGTGTACAATAAATGATCTGATCTGCAACCAAATCGATAAAGGAAGAAAAAAATCATACTTTGTAAGATATAAAAGTAGATTTTCTGCTATATTATCATATATTGTCTAACCTAAGGTCGACTATGGATTATGGATCCATTAATGCAAGACAAATAAAATGTCTGAAATCTTTTACCTTTTACCAACAAGTAGAGTGTAACGATCACTTGTGCAAAGAGGAACATTGAAAATACGCTTTCGATTTGCATGGGAATAGTCCAAACATTTTAAATTCTCAAACTTAATAAAATTATTTAATAAAAGTTATTTTATGAAATGTACAAATATTTGATTTTATATATATCTCTATTTTATACTCTAATCTTATCTCTAGTCTTATAAAATTTTTAGTCCAAGAAAAAATGTTTTAATTTTGATTTTAAAAAATTCTTTTGCTTACAGTATAATTATTAAAAACTTTAATTTAAAATAAAAAAAATTTGTTATATTAAATACCGCAACTTATTGAATATTATTGAATATTATTGAATATTTATAAACTTTATTTGCTTATTTCTGCTTCCTGTTTGTGCATTTAGTTTTGTTTAACGATTCAAATACAATATTTCTCAGCAGTATATACAAATTAAATTTTAGTCCGTCAATATGGCTTTAACCAGAGTTTCTCGTTGACTAAATAAATTTCCAGTTTCGCGACTCAACGTAACCAAATCTCTATCAAAAAACATCGAATGTATGCTCTGTCGTATAACAATTTTATTTGTTTTATTTACATACATTTATATGTTTGTGATAATTAGTTGCAAGAATCAATATTGTCAAGTTAAATATCTATATGTTGTAATAACCAAACTAAAAAGATATATCTTTTTATTATTAATTTTGAAATTGTACGAATTTAATCTTTATTTGCAGAGCAGTTATTTTATATATACAATAGACATTATTTTTATTAAATGAAAATATTTTTTACATTTCTTCCAAATTGTTTTCTTCCATAATCATTTTATTCAGTTTGATTTTAATTCGTAATTTCTCATATTTTTCTAAAAATTAGAATTTTTGCTACAAATATATTTGATATTCGTAGAAATATCTGAATTCCGTGAAAATAATAGATAACTTTAATAACTTTAAAAAAGACTAATCGAAATTGCAAAATGTAATACGTGACAGCTGCGTTTTTTTAGACAAATATTTTTGAATGTCGTTCAATCAAACCATAATAGAGTGATAAAAATAAAAACTTCTTTTGATTTGAGCATTTGATATATTTACATCTATTTCTCAGTGATAAGTCTTTCATCTATTTTTTTCTAGATTATAATGTCATTCCTGTTCCACGAAAATTTCTTTTACATGAAAAGCCAAATATATGTATAAAGTAAACTTACAAACGAACTAAATAATATTTAATAATACAAATAAACATTACAGATAAAATTTTCATGATATTGCGATGTACCTCTTTATTTTCAGTAAAAATTAATAATTTTCCGACATATAAAATTTAAGATTATACGCGGTTCATAAAGAAACATTTTGTATTCTAATAGAATAATTTTTAAATTTAATAGAACAACTAAATGAGAACTGTAGATAAATTTATGTTTTCTTTCACATTATTTATACTTATTCTTCCAATCTTCCCCAAGCTGTGAAATAGTTTAGCTTATTATTAGATTAATATAGCGCTACAAACTAATAGAGAGAGAGAGAGAGAGAGAGAGAGAGAGAGAG